GCGTATGAAGCGCCGAAGTGGACAAAAGCTGGACGAAAATCGCGAGACCGATCAGAGGACACAGTGCGCGAGACCGACTGAGAGTGCGCGAGACCGACTGAGAGTGCGCGCGACCGACCGAGGGTGATCGGCAACCGGTCGCGCGCACTCTCAGTCGGTCTCGCGCACTATTTCATCCGGTCTCGCTGACAACTCGTTCGGTTGCTGACAACTCGTTCGGTTGCCGATCCCCCTCGGTCGGTCGCGCGCACTCTCAGTCGGTCTCGCGCACTGTTTCTTCTGATCGGTCTCGCGATTTTCGTCCAGCTTTTGTCCACATCGGCGCTTCATACAGGGGCGTGTCTTAGAGAGAGGCTTTTATATCAGGACACAGCCGCTGTGACGAAACCGTGGAGAAGCATGTCACAGCGGAGAGCCGTTAACCAATATGCAAATTAACCTGCAGTACCACTGCTCTACCCATTTGAGCAGCAAAAAGACGTTTTTAGACCAAATGTTACAGATTTGGACAAATACGCACAAAAACATCAAAATTAGTACAGAAACAGTACTATATAACATTTTAGACACATTCTAGACAGTTTATCAGCTAAAAAAATTAATTTTGGAGTAAGTTACTCTTTAAGAAGTCTTCAGTTAATCCAAAATGCTGCTGCTAGAGTTTTAATGAGAGTTGGAAGGAGAGATCATATTTCTCCAGTTTTAGCTTCTCTGCACTGGCTCCTTGTCAAATTCAGAATAGAATTTAAAATATTACTCCTAACATACAAAGCCCTTAACAACAAAGCTCCATCATATATTAAAGATCTTATTGTTCCATACTTTCCTAACAGAGCACTTCGCTCTCAGACTGCAGGTTTACTTGTGGTTCCTCGAGTTTCTAAAAGTAGAATAGGAGGCAGAGCTTTCAGTTATCAAGCTCCTCTCTTGTGGAACCAACTTCCCATTTCTGTGCATGAGGCTGACACTCTGTCTACTTATAAGATTAGACTGAAGACTTTCCTTTTTGATAAATCCTATAATTAGGCTTAGGTTTCCTGAGTTATTCTTCATTTCTGATATTCTTTTTTTTACATACCCTGAGACAACGTATGTTGTGACTTGGTGCTATATAAATGAACTGAATTGAATCACAGTTTCAACTCTTTTCATTCAGTTTACAACAAGGGTGCCCAACCAGTCAATCGCGATCGACGGGTAGCTCGTCAGCTGGTTCCCGGTAGCTCACGGAGCGCAACCTTCCTCTAACACCTGAGAGCCGGCTCGTCAGCTGAGAGCAACAGTTGCACTCCGGCCCGGGACTCATGTCCGCTCGCTGAGCTCTCCGGCAGAAGCATGAAAACCAAGTCCAAGAACAGATCCACAAAGATTGGTGATCATCTGGAGACCTGCTTACACCTCATACTGTCTACCTGTGAGAACCTGGGCAATGTCAGAAGTCCTACTAAGGTAGAGGTGCATTTGTTTTAATATAGCTTCTTGCATGAAAAGTTTTCTCCTCTAGACTTGTCACAATGGGTCTGTATTTTGTTTTTATTACATTTTAGACCAGACTAGTGTCTTATACACTGACTAGCACCTTTGTGTTATTTATTTATTTGTTTTGCAGTTGTTTTCTCTACTTAACATGGGTGTGCATGTGTCTTGTCAGGTGGTGAACAGGTGGAACTCTTTGAATGGTTTGGAGCCGGCAGTCTGGACCAGTGAGGGCCAGCACCTACAGAAGACACCATCCTGCATTCTGCTGCACAGAGATGGAGGTTTGAAATAGTTGTTGGAGATTTGTGAATCTGCACCATCCTAAGTCACTTTTTGTAATAGTATAAACAAGAGAGTTTTATATTGTGTGCTTTGACTTTAGTTTTTTGTTTTGTTTTGTTTTTCCTTCCCTGCATGGAGAGAAAGAGAGGAGAATTCTTTGAATAAATGGAGACGAGTTCCCCTGCTCCAAAGTTATTTAAGTCTGTGGTTCTCAGTGTGCAGGTTTCCACCCATCATAGCTCACATGTTACAGGGAGTACTAATTGAAGTAGGTAAAAAAAATGATCCTTTTTGTTCGAGCATCACTTTTCTGTTTCTCTGTCAGGAGTAAAGTAAGGTTTTTCTCTTTTCCTTTTTTTTGTAGGTAAATATATGGTTAAGTAGATAGTTTTGTTTGACAATACTTTAAATTAAATAAAACTAGAAACACATTACGTTCTGTTTTTTTTACTTTAAAGAAGTGAGGAGTAGGGAAACGAAAAATTATGTTTTTTTGATACTGAGACTGGACGAGTAGATCTCGGCAAACTGCCGACTTCAAAAGTAGCTCTTGGTTCAAAAAAGGGTTTGCAAACTTTTTACAAAAGGTTTTGCACCCCTGGTTTACAGGCAGCTACAAAATGATCATTACTTTCCACGTTTTGTCAACAAAGCCACAGTACCATACTCATGGAGCACCCCTCACAGTGTACCTCAAGGAACACAATCAAATGCCTTTAAGTCCACAAAATACGTGTAGACTGATGGGCAAACTCCCATGATGTGAGTGTAAAGAGCTGGTCTAGTGTTCCATGGGGTAGGACTGAACCATCATTGTTAGACCAGTGTAGTGAAGGGAATTCCAGCTCTTTTTAAAAAAGCTGAGTCTTTTGAATCAGTTCACTAAAAATAGTTGGCTCTTTTGGCTCCCAAGTGGCTCCTCAGGTTTGTAGGTGCATATTACCAAAGTATGTGTAAAAATTACTAATGTAAAAACATGCATTATTTTAAAGGCTTGTTTATATGGCACAGCAAAAACAAGCAACAGCTTTCAAAACCAGGAACACCAGTGACAGTGTTAGGTGTTTGTCTTTAATGTGAAAAAAACTGCTAAAGTTTCACTGCTGAAACAGTAGCAATTGTTTCCTCTTTAAAGGCAAACATGCTAAAACCATTTGAATAATTTTAAACTACAAATTTTTCCATAGTAAAATGTATTTTTTAAGTCTAAAAACAGATTCTTTCATCTTACCACAGTTGCTGATGTTCATATTCTGTAGAGGTATATTCCTGCCTTCACTTGAACAGTACAGTTGTTGGCCGCTAAGCCCTGCTTCTCCTCTCTGTTGCCATAGCTGCAACCAGCGAATCTCACAGCCACAGGTAAACGCCACCTCCTCTAAATGCCTGGAAAAACACAAACACTAACATTATTACTAGTGGCAGAGCCAGAAATAAATTTACAGATGGACCTAATGAAAAGGTGTTCAACACAGCTGTAGATCTCAGCTTGTGAAACACCGTAGGAAAAACTGAAAAAATGTATATGTTGAAAAGAAATGAAATCCAATTAAGTTCATTATTTCATGCTGTTAGGTGTATATTTGAAAGGTGCGTAGTGTACTTGAAAATGTCACTACAGCCCGTAGTGACACTTGTCCAGCTGATGGCCAACATTGAATCCTGCACCTGGGCCACTGGGGTGTATAACCACCCCCTGATCTTTGTGACTCTGTTTGGCTAGGTTTACAGTATGTGGGAGTGTATTCATGACCTGTAGGTTTAGGTAGCATGTGGGCTCTGCTGAGAGGTGACGCAGGGTCGTCTGATGCTGCTCAGGAGGAGTAATCATCAGGACATTCACAGAGACCACCCTCAGTGGATCTGATAACAGAAAATCCCTGCTTGAGCAGTCGTCAGCAGTGGATCTAAGGACATCTAAGAGACACTGGTTGGTAGACTGGAGTACTCTGGAGTGTGGTGGTTAAGAAGGTCACATAAAAATGATGGAGTCAGACCTTTAAAAACTTTAAAAACCAAAAGTAAAATCTTAAAACAATCTGTGAGGGGACAGGAAGGGTCCAGGGTGATGGACTCATGTTCTTTAGTACCTGCCAAAACACAAGCTGATGCATTCTGCACTGTTTGTAAGGGATATAAGTATAATTTATCCAAACCAACAGAGTGTTGCAATAATCCAACCAAGAGGTAATAAAGGTCACATTTTCAAGGTCTTTGACAGGAAGACATGACTTCAACTTAAAAATCAATCTTAGTGAAAAAAAAAGGATTTCACAATTATTTATCTAATTTAAGATCACTATCATAAATAACACCAAGATTTATGACAGCTGAGGGAACGAATAAAGCCAAGAGTTGTGAAGGGTATTATATTTACCAAATCTGATTACTTCAGTTTAATTTTAAAATAAATTCAGGAAATGTGGTTTTAACCAAGTTTACATGTCATTTAGACAGTTTGAGTGGTTCCACTCGAGTGATTCTGCTTAACTTCAATTCAATTCAATTCAATTCAAAAATACTTTATTTATCCCAGAGGGAAATTAGGTAAACTAAACTTAATGGGTAGAAATACCTGGATATCAGCTGAAAACAGTGGAAAGGGATGTCATATTTTCTTTTTTTTTTTAAAAAGGGACCCCAAAGGCAACAGTTATAGGTCAAAAAGCGATGTGGACCTAAGATTGATCCTTGAGGAAGCCCATGAGTCAGAGGATCTGCAGAAGATTCTCTTCAGTTAATAGAAAAACTACTGTGAGTCAGGTAGGATTTAAAACAAAATCAAACTGTGTCTTAGATACTAACCCAGGTGGTTGGTATCAAGGCACAGTTTGATCTCAAAACATTTGTCCTTATTAGGGCTGGATAAAAAAATTGATTTAATCGACCTTGAATCGATTTCACAAAATTCTTGCAATATTGATTCACAGGACATGAGATCGATTTTTCAGTAGTCTTGTGGCGAAGCACAGGCGCGTTCTTTTTTGTCCCTTCTGGCTTGCTTTATGTCTGGAACCATTTCCGATTTAAAACAGTAAAGGACAACGAGTTGGATAAAACCAAAGTGGTTTGCAAGATTTGTCAAGCGGAGGTCAGTTTTTGTAGAAATACTAAGAACCTCAGAAGCCACACTACGCTAACTTTAGCTTCCGACGAGAAGTCGTCTGGGCCTAAACAAAAGAAACAATCATTAACATTACCAGCTGATTCTCCGCGGGCCATTAAGATAACAGAGGCCATCGCAACTTTTGTTTGCAGAGATTTACGTCCGTACTCTGTGGTGGAAAATGAAGGATTTAATCGGCTCGTTCAGGTGCTCGAGCCAAACTATGTTATGGTGCAACGTAAACACCTGACGGAAACTGTTATCCCTGGGATGTATAACGGTGTGAAAGACCACATACTAAAGAAAATGCAGTCAGCAGACAGAGTCACACTTGTGACACCTGGACATCAGTGTCAACGCAGTCATACATGACAGTGATTTCTTACTACATCGACGAAGAGTGGTGCCTCGTGTCTCATGTGCTACAGACCACCAAGGTTGTCACGAGCACACCGCCAGTAATATTGCTGATATATTGACGAGGGCCATAGACGAGTGGGGGCTGACCAGCAAAGACCCAGTAGTCGTGACGGACAACGCTGCAAACATGGTTCGGGCGGTGGAGCTAATGCAGCTAATGCACATCGGATGTTTTGCGCACACACTGAATTTAGCCTCACAAGCAGGTCTAAAAATCCCAGCCGTGTCACGTCTSCTTGCTCGAGTGAGGCGCATAGCAACCTTTTTTCACCGGAGTACGACGGCATGCCATGTACTAAAAGAAAAACAGAAGCTGCAGCAACTGCCAGCACACAAGCTAACATTAGATGTTGCGACTAGGTGGAACAGCGCACTGGACATGCTCGAGCGCTTTTTAGAGCAACAGCCAGCTATCGCTGCTACTCTCCTTTCACAGGACGTGTGCAGAAATGAAAAAGATTTGTGCACCTTAACTGAGGAGGATGTAACGATGGCAGAAGATTTGGTGTGGGCCTTGAAACCAATGAAAGAAGCTACATTAGCAATGTCGGAGGACAAGCAACCAACTTTGTCTGTTATCGCCCCACTTCTTGCTCTGCTGCAAGAGGCCTTGACCCTGAGGTTCGAAGACTCCACCATGGTGAGGGATTTGAAGGCTGTTGTAAAGAGCAGCTTGAGGAGAGGGTATGCTAAAATCACTTTATTTTGCTTTGAAAAAATGAACACATTACAAAGCAAAGTTTTGTACTTTGCATTTTCTAATTTTACTGAATAGTTTTAGCAATTAACAATTTATAATCCATGCACGTTGTAATGTGTGAGATCGTATATTCGTATGCATGCCATGGTTATAGTCATATTAATGAATCTGTGAAATATCTCTACGATATGATGCACAGAAGGACACATTGTATGCAGCATCAGCGCTGGATCCTCGCTTTAAGACCCTACCATCCCTGTCCAGTGAGGAGAGAGATAAGACCTTTTCCAGACTGCAGAATGAGGCTGCCACTGCTGCACATGATGCAAGTATTTATTTTTTGTTAAATTAAATATGAATATTTTGATTATTAAATGTTTTTCTATTGCATTTTGAGGAATATTATGT